GGTCTGTGAAATAGGTAAAATAGATAAACAGCTTCAAGTCCAACACTTAATAACCGATTAGGCGTAGTCAGAGTCTAACTCACATTTCTACAGGGTATACTCTCGGCGCATACCTAATGGACAACTCTGCCAAATGATGGTAAAGATGGTTAACTGGCGCTGCTGCTGCTGCTGCTGGGACTGCCCCCAGTTGATCAGTTGAATACAAATGCAAAGCCGAAGCTGAACCTGTTGACTCTTTGTCCGTGTTTGTCGTTGCTTTGCGGTAGGAGATTTGTGAATTTTCATGGGCGGCATTAAATCAAAATCGGTGCTTTGTGCTATCGATTTCGTTGCCAATTTAGCCGATCTATCAATGGCCGGCAATCAATCAATTGCCTCGAACTGCGAATTCCGTAACAAAGCGTTTAACTGTCGACCGATTGCAGCAGCAACGGAGCCCAACTGGGCTAAATGGCTGAATTGTCTGCGCTTTTGGGCCAATTGACGGCTGACTATAAATGTCGCATTAGTGGCCCCCTCAATTGCAATTGATGCCAATCAAGTGTGGGCAATTCAGTCAAGACGGCCTCTACCCGTCAGCCGTCGGCAGTTGCTTCTGCCATGAGCTCACCTTATTGGACAATGGGTCAATCAGGAAGCCGTTCCCAACCAGTTTTAGGCAACGATGTCTCATTGAAAACCCGTCAATATCAATTCATATTTCTCTGTTTGTATTCAGCTTAAGATTAACAAAAAAAAATTTGTCATTTTTAACATATAAAATCATTTAATAAACAAACAAAAAAAAAAAACTTGGAACTTAGAAATAATTAGACAACATTGCAGATGCTAGCTAAACTCCCTGTTTGAACTTGAGCCTGAGGCCGTTTACCAGCCCTTGTTCCAGCCCGAACCACCGGAGGAGCGAGCGTAGCCGCCCGAGTAGCCACCATAGCCACCGCCGCTGGAGTAGCCGCCATGTCCGCCGCTTTGTGCCTGGTTGACCACCTCCAGGACGATGACCTTGGATGGAGCTGAGTAGGAGCGGGATGGGCCGGCTGAGTAGGCGCGGGATGGGCCAGCAGAGTAGCCGCCGGAACGTGCGCCAGAGTAGCCACCACCAACAGCGCCGCCGCCGCCACCAAGCTTGCTGGCGAGTCCACCGCCAAGTCCACCACCAAGTCCACCACCAAGTCCACCACCAAGTCCACCGCCAAGACCGCCGCCTAGACCGCCGCCTAGACCGCCGCCAAGACTGCCCAGTTTGCTCTGCAGCAGCTGGACAATGCCGCCAGCACCACCAGCGCCATTGATGTTGCCGCCGCCGCCACCGCCGCCGCCAAGGAGACTATCGAACGTGGCCTGGCTGCCGGCCAGCAGAGCGACAAGGATAACAAAGATGCATGCGAACGGTTTCATTTTGCTCTAAGCTCGGATCTCGAAGACGATCTGAATTTCGATTTGGATATGGTGCTCAAGACAAACAGAAGCGTTGACTACTTCTACAGCCATGATGCCCACACGCATTTATACCAAAAAACGTGCACGGAATCAATACTCCAAACCAAAATACGAGTATCGCAAAGCATGAATAAATCAATAGCACGCGTTTCAATGCCCAGCATCAGCAACAGATTCAGCCTCACAGGGAGTAGATAGAGCAAGTGCCGATGCGTAGAGATGGGCGCGTGAGGGCAGCAGAGTCACGAGCACGACAATCGAGCGCACGAACTGGTCAATTTGATACAGAGATGAACTCTTAAGATTTGGTTATAGGTTTCTCATTCCAGTTAATGAGGCTGGTGCTCACTGATATAAGGCTGCAGTTGAACTCACGAATGCTCGTGCCACGAGCTTGACTTCAGCAATTAGTTGCCTTTGATCGTTTAAGCAATTAAAAGAATTAATAACCCACATTTATGTCTGTATGCGTGCGACGATGCTGAAGATATATTGAGCAGCTGCCGACGGGCCTTTGTTTGCCGATTGTCTCCGATAACTATGCAAATCTTTACGCATGCGCGACTTGGACTTGGTCATTGTGAATACCCTGGAATCAGCGAATAAGCGCTGGGTATGCTATATTATGTGCATGCTTTAAGGGCAATCAAAGTCGAGAAGAAAAGTAATTTGAAATTGAGGAGCAAAAAATCAAATTTAATTTATAAAAATATTAAAATATCGCATATTTTATTAAACAAATCGCAGCTTAAGCTAACTTTACAACGAGAACAAATACAAACAAAGACTTCTTTATATAATAAGTATTTCTAATAAATAAGAGGAGTATTCTAGATGACATTCACTCTTGCCAGAGGGTATATGCCAGTCATCGATCAATTTCTCGCATGTTCGTTATCTGCTCAAATATTAGTTAGCATCGAGCTTGGGCCACAAATCAAACAAATTAACGCCGTTTGATCGCATGAGGACGGTAAGACCTAAAACAGAGTATCAACAAGCAACGGACAGTTTGTCAAGCTGAGCTGAGAGCTTGCACAATTGATAAATGATATTTTGACAGGCCACTCAAGCACTAGACTTCAGCTCTTCAGCTTCTCAGCTCTTTGGCTCTGCGGCTCGGCCGTTGTTCTGCTCATTTGCAAATCAAGGTCTGCCAGCGGGCATATGGAAGCTGGCGAAACGACAAAACTGTAACGCTAGATCAAGTAATCAGGAAGCGAGTAGCTACAGTTAGTATCAGCCTAGGCTTGACCCACTGTCAGAACGTTCCCATCAGCATCATCGTTTAAAAATAGGCGCAATCCAGAACAGGCTCTTGGACAAGCTCATGCTCCACGCTTAGGCGCTGTCAATGTTTTGGCACATATTTGCATAGTCAATTGACTTGTCAGTATATATACATAGATATAGACGTATATATATATATATATATACATACATATCGAGGCCTATGTACTTTGCTTATAGAGACCGACAGCTTGCCAAGTTCAATGCACTTTTAAGCTTACAGAATATTTATGCTAAGCTACGCTTCTATGGGGGGTGTTTAATACAACAACAACAACTAGCTATATTTTATAATTCTATAAATATGAATATATATTTATAGAAAGATATATGTATATATGCTGCGTGTCTGCTGTAACAATTGATTCATTAGCCATATCGATTAAGGAAATCTTCAGTTCGCATTTGATATATGYCAATTAGGCGACTCTTAAGGTCAGCTATAGAATAATTCCTTATTTCCTATAATTGATATGTCTTTTTCCTTTTTGCTCAAATATTACAATAACAAAAAGACTAAAAAATATTTTTTTTTGTTTCTAGCTTAGCTTAATTTATTCACATTCAAATTGTGAAAAAATACTAATAAAAAAGTTAATTATGTGTAGAAAGAGTAATACAATAACGGAACTTCTTCTATTAACAGCTATACTATATATGTATTCCTATAAAGTAAATAAAAATACAATAACACTTATATGATAATTTCCAGCTAATTTAAGGCTATACGAAGCATCCGCAATGGACTGATAACTCGAGTTTTATGAGCACTAAAACTATATATATTCATTATAATATTAATTAAAGTTGTTAATGTGAATTGCAAATGATTTATAAAATGTGATTATAGCTAAGTACAAAAAAAAAAAAAAAAGCTATGATGTTTATTATTTTGCGTTGCACAACATCTTGGCTAAACTGAAACAAATCTCGCTTGCTTTACGATCTGTATCTAAGGTCACATTATATATTCACACATCTGTATATATGTATATACTTTATTTTTCTTGCGATGCTTAGTTGTTTCGCCTTGTATTCAGCAATATTCTTAACCTGTTTTTCGTTTGTTTTTTTGGGGCCTCACGGGTCAAAAATTAAGAGAAAAAAGTCATGTGCCTTTGTTATTTCAGCACGTTCATTAGATCGACCTACAGATGGAGATAGGTTCGTTCGGCTGGCGCGTAACACGTTTCGTTACAATGGAACTATACTTCCATTACAGCCACAGCCGCTACGGATATCGTAAAAAGTAGTTCCCATCGCATCGCCTTCAATTCGAAGGCTTTCATCAAATTATCATATTTAATTATGCACTAACTCGTATAACATTACTGGCCAAATGCACAAATGCATAAAAGTGAATGCAAACTTGCAGTTTATGAAGTCATCTTCTCAGCTTTTCATCTTTTGTTTTTGTTTTTTTGGTGGTGGTGGTCTCGTCGTCACAAACCTATGTGAGAGAGGGGCGTTTAATTGGTTGATATCAAGCTGTCTAGGCTTGGCAATGATAAGGATTTAGCTACAGGATGTGTGCGAGAGAGTGAGAGTGAGACCGAGAGAGACCGAATATTAAGGAATAATTATTTCAGTAAATTACTTTCTTAAGCTAATGTTATTATTTTCTTCTCTTTTACCCACAGTATATCTAAAGTTTGTCAACAAATAAATTACATACACAAAAGATCATTATATGACTCATACTATACTAATATATAGTACTACTACTATTTTTATATTACAATTATAGTATACTATTATGCTCTAATACCATACTCTATACCTTATGGTAATATGATATTGCATATTGTAATACTTCACAATACTACACTATCTACTACTACAACTATACCATACTACAATATCTATATACTAGTACTATATACTAATACTATACTATACTATTTACTACTACTATTATTAAAATATACTACTACTACTATCTACTACTTCTACTATACTTTACTATGTATTACTATTACTATCTACTACTTCTACTATTACTACTACTACTACTACTACTACTACTACTATTATACTATACTACTATTTACTACTTCTACTATTACTATTACTACTACTACTATTATTATACTATACTACTATTTACTACTTCTACTATACTACACAATTACTAATTCTGCTAGTAATAGTAGACTATACTGCTACTCTCCCCTACTATCTACTGCTACAATATACTAAAAACTTCTCAATACTAATATCTCAATTTTCTATATTCGAGATTTCCGTTATGTTTTTCGAATTTTCACATCATATCCACGTCACTTTATCTAAAAATAATGTATTTCTACATCAGAGTTCATTACTAGCATTGCATTCAGTTAGCTTTCGATCCACCCTCGCCAAGTACCCAGCGTTGTCATTATAGGGTTGCGGAATTGATGACACTCATAAACTATAGCTGGCGCATAGTAATAATTAAACCTAATGCAGCCGTGCGGCATATATTATAAATTCTGCTCGCACTTAAGCAAGCCATTCCTATGTGAATTCATAGATTGTGTATATGTGTGTGTACTCTAATGCATATATATGTGTGCAAAGCACTCTTCGCTGTAATCGATTTGCATAAACGATTGTCAAGCTAAAGCTTCCCAGAGCAATTACGTACACATAAATAACTATCCATATTTGCAAATCTATATATTTGAATGTGTGTGCATGTATGGGCATATACATATATGTGAAATTGCTAATTGATGGGAATGCAAAACATATACATTGAAATAGCTGAAATAGAATAAAGGCAGCGCTGGCCCATAAATATGAGGCCTTAATTGCAGCCAGGTTCATTAGAATAATTCTGTTTTCAAACAGTTACAGAGCCAACTCGGTAGCTGGGAGAAGGGCATAAAGACTTCAATTAGGCAATAAAGCTAGTATGTAGTAAAAAAATAAATAGCAAAGGTTGTATAGCTATAAAATTCTAAGATAAATAGATAAATTTTATATAGATATTAAATGTTAA